GGACATTTTTCCTCCCTAGGTGCAGCACTTTGCATTTCTCCTTGTTGAATTGCATTCTGTTGTTTTCTGCCCACTTGTCCAACCTGTCCAGGTCTGCTTGCAGCTGTTCCCTGCCCTCCGGCGTGTCCACTTCTCCCCATAGCTTTGTGTCATCTGCAAACTTGGACAGAGCTCAGTTCGTGCTGCACGTGCTCAGTGGGCAGCAGCTCTGCACCTCCAATGCCGACTCCATTGCGGACCTGTGGGTGGGAGTGGCCGTGGCTCCTGCCCCAGGCCTAGGGGGTAGCACATCCTGCTCTGGCTGCTACTCCCGCTGTCCCAGCCATGGATGAAGCCTGTGGCTGCAGGATAGGGCATGGGTTGGGGGTAGGGTCCAGGCTGTGGGGGATGGGCCCAGGGGTCCAGGACACAAATGAATCTTAATCCTCTTCTGAGAACCCCTGCTTTCAAGCAGTGCTGGAGCCTGCAGCTCTTTAGTCCCCCCCCCCCCCAACCCGCTGAACTCAGCAGAGTGAAGGGCAGCAGGCTCCGAACTCTGAACCACCTCAAAATCAAGGACTCTGGGAAAAGTCCAGACTGGTGAGCTCAGCAGCTGCTGAGAGTTCACTGGGATCCAGGATCACAGTAGTGGGCTGCGGCCACATCATCTGCTCAATGCATATGTACCCCACCCCAAAAGGGTATGTTCCTGCATTAGTATTGCCACAATCCTGGACCCACCCATGGTTGTTACTGAATTAACATATACATGAGAGGCACACTGATCTACATATTTCAAAACTGCATTTTATTACATCAGTTACCATCTTTATAATATTTATTTTGTGTCCTTCCCACACACTATTTTGTACAAATCGTCATGGGCTCCTCCTCTCTTTCCCCTCTTTGAAATGGCATTGGCACTAGGGTGTCCATTTTCACACCACACAGTGATACTGATTCTGATAGGCTAGTGCTTAGTTGTGGGAAACTTTCACCTAATCAAGTATGTATTTTAGGTTTTGAGGCCTGTAAAATAAATATTTACAGCATTTATAATGATTCTAGCTCATTTTTTCTGGTTTATTATTTAAAAGAGGGCTGTCCAACTTGCAGCACACAGGTTGATGTGTTAACTGGCTGCTTCTCCCTCCACTGTTCATTCTGCTGCTGCCAGAGTCTCTGGACTCCTCTCTTTTCCTCCATCTTCTGCTTCCTGCCTTTGCCCCTGTGGACAGGAGGAGCCTGGGGAATCCATGTAATCTCTGCATCCAGGGAGTCCAGGTGCTGGGTTGGGCAGGGGTAGAGAGGCTGGGAATCAGCACAGCCCACACAGTGGGGAAGTGGGGAGGTCCAAGGGAGTCCATGAAGCCTGAATGGTGTGTGACGCAGGGGGCCTGCAGCTGTTCAGGTGTCAAATGGCCTTAATTTAAATTAATACATTCAAAGTTCATGTGCCTTCCACTCGCCCAAATACTATAGTATAGTAAGACAGGTTATGAAGGAGAGTGATGCTAACACAGGGGTGGGCAAAATGCGGCCCACGGGCCAGATGCAGCCCACCAGGCCATTTTATCTTGCCTGCGGGGCCCCTAAAAATTTAGAAAATTAATAGTTATCTGCCCCTGGCTGCTTGTCATACGGCCCTCGATGGCTTGCCAAAACTCAGTAAGCGGCCCTCCACCCGAAGTAATTGCCCGCCCTTGCTAACAGCAGGTAAACTTGTCTCGGAACACAGTAACCTTATGCTTAAGACGGCTTCCACTTAGCACAAATGCCAATAAATCAAGACAGCTGATAGCTGTTATACTCAAGGTGATTTCATTGCAATTTTCTAACTGATAATTCTCATTCACATGCTCTATATAATAGATCCTAAAAAGATGATATGGAAGGAAACAAATTATTATGATAGTTAGGAAAATCAAGCTTTTTATCTGAGCCCAGAATTCTTGATGTGACCAGATAGAGCCTGAAATCCTTCTCACCACCTTGTGAATGATGAAGATTTGCAAGGCCAAGAGGATGCAAGTGATGCAGGGTACAATCCCAATCATGATATAGTTCAGTACTTTCACACTGCCTTGCTTTAGTTCTTCTTGGAAATTAAAACATGTAGTATTATTATATGTTCCAGAGGTCCCATATTGAAAACGAAACACAGGCACCACAATGAGAGAGACTACAGTCCACACGGCAGCACTGGCCCCCACGGCATGAAGCTTCCTGTAGAACTCCACCTTGTCCTTCCACTGGAAGAAGACGAGCCACCTAATAACCAGGGTGACAACGTAGAACAGAAAAGTCAGGTACATGTGGATGTGAAGTGTAGCGCTCACTGCTTTGCAAAAGGGCAGTCCAAAAACCCACTTCCCATTAATATAGTAATGAAGCCGAAATGGCACCGTTAGGAGGAGGAGGCTGTGCACCACGACCAGGTTCACGATTGCTGTGGTGGTCACGGACAGAGTGTTCATTTTAACTAGAAAAAATGACATTGCAATGACTCCAGTCACACCTCCAATAAAGGCTACTGAATACACTGTAGTCAGTATGGTCTGTGCAATTCCAAGCTGAGTGGTGTTGGACACTGATGCCTCTCCAGTCATGGTCATGAAATCTCTCTCACTTGCACTCTTAAGAAAATAGAGAGAGAAAAAAAATTAGTGTGATTAAATACTAAATCTGGACTTGTCCACAACCACATTCTGGCTCCAGTGGTACAAACATAATCCTAGTGGGTCTGGGTTTGTTTTATTCTTGGGATGGAATTGATTGTATCTATTACCCAAATATTCTGAAGGATGAGGAAAGAACAGCTCTAAAACTTGAATTTACAGCTCTCTCAGAGGTGGAAAAGATAGGGGGAATTTTTCAACTTATTAAAATAGTACCAGGCTACCAGGCATAAAATTAAAAACAGTTATGAAGTGTTATTATAAAATCAAGGCAGGATAGCTTCTTGGCCAAATTACTTGAGTGCCAGATTTATTTGTCATTTGTTAACAAGGCAGCTCTTTACTCCTGAAGAGCTACGTAGGTATTGCCACAGACACAACACTGTGCTAGAATACTGCTGCTTGGTCATTAGAGTCAGTTTTGTTTATTTGTAACACAAATTTCTATTTTAAGGGCTTGATGTTAATGTTAACCATATGCTTCTTCACTGAAGCCACAAATTTTGGATGTGACTGAGAACAGTTTTTTTCTGGGGGTTCTGCACACAATATACTTATATACGCAATACAACCTCATTATAACAAACCCTGCTTGTAGCAACACTCTGGGTTATAAAACTCTCAAAAGCTGGAGTCATTTTTTTCATTACTAGACTCGTCAGATTGACTAAACTTATCATAGCAAACACCTTCTCTTAGTGGACTTTTCTGTTACAATGAGGTTGTAGCATAATACACATTTATAATGTTTATTTTATGGGTCTGCTACTGCCACAGCTGACCAGTAAAGGTATGATGCAGAGCCCCCTAACAGAAATGTGTAGTGTATGCAAGCCTCCTAGTGTATGCAAGCAGAAGTAGTTCGCTGCTGACTTTGTTTCCTATCTCTTTGAACAACAGAAGTTCTGCTGGCAGAAGGTTTTTCTGTTGGCATAGCTGTGTGCAAATGGAGGGTGTTGCCAGCAGAACTAAAAGTCTCATCTTTTCACACTCCTAGTTGACATGGTATAGATGTTTGACATAAATGATATTTCTTTTCTGGTGATAAAGGAGGTTAAGTATAATTCTGATGATTCCAGTATGACAGCATTTGTCAAACATTACCAAATTGTTTATATTGCAAGAATTTAAAGTCAACTTGGAACCCTCTACACTTCACTGCAGTTATGTTTTGGGGAGCCATGCCCTGAAAGTTGCAGTTCTCCTGCCTAGATTGGAACAAATGCAATAGAGAGTCAGTTTTGCAGCACTCAGTTGTGTATGTTCAACACAAGGCAAGTCTCTAGGGCTGACTGGAAACAAGGAATCTTGACGTGTTGAAATGTGACATGGGATTGGGAGGCCAAAGATCCTCCTGAGTAGGAGCAGATCAAGGCGGGGTGCCCTGGTAAACTTGCACCCCTCCTTCTCCCCTCTGTTCCCCGCTCTAAGCCCCCCCTCCCGGTGCTTTGCTTCCTGCTGCATCCAAAGGTTAAAGCCAACAGCCTAGCAGTGGCAGCAGCAGTGAGGGTGTCAATTAACTTAATGGCTCATTATAATTTTCATGATTCCTTCTAAAGTCTTCATTCCACAGGTGTTAATGACCCTCTTTCCTTTTTAAATAGTCTTTAATGGCTTACTTCTGCAATACTGCTGTCTGTTAGCTGCTCCTAGTAATGTAGCTCCCATTTCAAAGCCCTGCACCTGGTTTTTAAATCCAGATAAAAACATTAACTCACCTGAGGATATATTAACTCAGGTGAATATTAGCTCAGATGTAGAAATTACTTTTAGTGAAGCATTGGAAGCACTATCCAAATGCTCAAGAAGGTTTGAAATTGTTTTATGAATCTGAAAAAGAGACACATACATTTAATTATAATAACCACGGTTAATGAAACAAGCTCCTTGGATTATTTTTGCCTAGTTTGTTATGTTTTCATATATAATGTATGATATAGCAAATTAATGCATGTGCCAATAAAGTTTTTTTTGTTTGGTTTTTTTTTTGCTTTAATCTTAAATTGAATAATGTAGCTCTAGGCTCCTGCTTATTAGTAAAGCTTCTAGGTTCTTTGTAACTGAAGAAAAATGTGTGTTGTGTTATATGTGATGATGCACTACACTATCTGCATCCCCCTTTTCAAAATCCCAGATCTGCCCATGTATGGCAGCAAGTGTGTTAGATCCAGTTCTCTTCCATATGTTCAGCAGCACATGATTATGGCAGGTATGCACTGGATTCTGTCTGGATCTGAATTCAGACCTCTCATCTTCATGCTTGCTGGCAAAGCCTTTTTACCCAGTCAATGGGTTTTACAATATAAGATCCAAAAAGAGAATTTTCCCTGGTTGGGTTTTAGAACCTTTTAACACCAAAATGATATTAGCTTTGCAGGGCGATATGCTATTTCCTTTGTCTGTTACATCACTGATGGTTCAGGTGACTTCCATTTTAGGTAATACATAGTTTTGATACCTTAAAGACCATTTAACAGTTTCCTCATTTGTGGAAAATAGCAGGTTTGGGGTACAAACAGCAGGTTTGGGGTGAATTGGAATATTAACAACACTGTGGGTGCATCTACATGAAATGCTAAAACCTCAGTAGATTAATTCTACTACACATTAGTGCATTACAGCAAAAGTTATGCTAAAGTACAGTAGAATGAGTCTACTGCACATTAGTGTCACTAAAAAGGCATATGTTGGTGGTACTGGCCAGTAGTGCCAGTTACTACTTATTGAGTTAGTAGACTTAATGCGCCATAACTATGGCACATTAATGCACATGTAGATGCACCCAGTATGTCTCCGTGACTTTGATTTCTAAAATAATTGAACTATTAGAAATGCTTCTAAAGTGCCCATCATTTGTAGTATATGAGACCAATAAAAAGTCAAGAGTGTTCTCTGTGTATCCGTACCACTAGCTACTTTATTAAATCTTCCATCAGAAATAACTGTTTTTAGATTCCATATGGTAACTTTGTAAATATTGACTCTGTAATGTCTGACGATGCATTATATAGGGTTAACTTTAAAATTTTCTTCACTCCTTATCATCATGGTATGTTACCAGATTTAAGAAAAAAATATACCATGATGAGCCTCAGGTATAAGCGATGAGAAACACAAGATGTATAGAGGGGAAGGAGAGAAAAAGGGAACAAAAAATAAAAAGAAAGAAAAATGACCCACCTCTCCATACCGGAAACCAAAACAGAATTATATTATGAAACAATGTCACAAAAACAGTGTGGACATGTTTCCTGCATCAGACAGTAATAAGCAAGGGACAATAATGAAAGTTGCCATCCTGGAAAAGCTCTCAGGTATTTAAAAAAAAAAAAAAAGATAGCCAATTAAACAATATTTTTAAAGTTTCAAACTTTGCTTTAAAAGAATTATACAATGAACCATCAAACAGCCTTTTGCATTTTCCATATATACTCATTTCCAAAGCTGGGCTCATACTTTTCACTTTGAAGTTCATTAATTTACAACCTGAACATAGATAAAAAACCCTTTTGCTTTTTCTTATATATTCACTTCTTAGTCAAGGAAGTGGCTCACTCCTAGCTGCACTCATTCAGGCTCATTGACTTGTATATTCCATTTGTGCAAAATCTTTAAGGAAAAGTTTCATTTAAAAATCCTGCAACTGCATTACTTCCTCTTCTAAGCCAAGTACAATTCAGTGGCCTGAATGTTGGGTTGCATTAGGACAGCTTTGTCCCTAGAGCTTATCCCTGGAGGGATCCTTCTGTGCAAGAGGACTCTTAAGTGCTTTGGAGCTTTGCTAACAGCTTCTAAGCCATTCCTACAGCCTTGCAGACAATGCAGGGTGTTAACTGTCAGCTCTGTTCTTGGGGAACCTTGGCACAGTACGCAGCCTGTCTGACTCACAAAGGACTCACCCCCTCCCCACCTCTGCCTGAACAAGAACTGATTAAAGGAAGGACTCACAAAAGACAATGAAGATGCAGTGGGAGACGCATCTTAAGCCCTCCAGACAAGGGTGATAAAGGTGAAGCAACTCCCCTGGTCTCATTTGAATCAGAGATGGAACCGGATGACAACTCATTTAATGGGAGATGGGACAGACATGCATCTTCATTAGCATTCAGGATGGAGAATAGAGATTCCAAGGCAAGGACCGCACTGAATTCTGGGACCAGAGAAGCAGGGGAACACTGCGTGATGGGGGACCCCTGCTCCAAATGCTAATCAACCCACGTCTACACACACCCAGCTCAGCATTTATTAGACCAATTCTAGTAATGACTCCTCTAGTGGTATCCAAAACACTGAATCTGCCTATCTGTATTGTGAGCTTCCTCAGAGGATTAGCCAGGAGTGATCAGTTCCTATCATCCAGCATATGAGCCATTGTTTACCCATAAACAAACCCAGTGTTCTCCCTTGAGCCATTGTTAGTTCTCTACAAAAACCCCTACCCATGCTCAAGTCTCTGTCCTGGTGCTTGGATCCAAAAGCTGCACCAGTTCCACTCCTTTTCTGCCTAGAATCCCTCCATTGATCGTGCAGAGGGCTCTGCCTGTCTGCGAGATCCAACAACACCTGGGAACCTCGACTGGTTCAAGCTTTGCTGAGTGGTGAGACCCCAACTCTCTCTCTCTCTCTCTCTGTCATTCTGACTCCAGGAACCTGACTTTTACTGTCTTGCTCCAGGCACAGCTTTCTAAACCTGACTTTTGCTAATCAAACTCGATCTAGACTTCCCCAAATACTTAATTGAAACTGTAATATTGTAACTTTTATTTGTCTCTCTTGTATGGCTATTACTACCGGTATCATCGTAAGTTCATATACCTGGCAATAAATAACTTTTATTGTCAAGCTGGTTGCTATACTCTCTCTCTGAACCTCACTTACTCTGCCTTCCCCTTGACCTCCCCATTTGCTCTGCAGCAGCACTTCTTTTACCT